GGACAGACAGCACTTCTGTTTTGAAATACATAAACAACGAGACATCCAGATTTAAAATCTTCGTATCAAACAGAGTGTCTGAAATATTGAAAACATCTAATGTATCCCAATGGAGGTACGTGAATACGTTAGCCAACCCTGCAGATCTAGCCTCCAGAGGCGTTAAAGTTCAGTTATTTCTAAAGACTGGTGCATGGCTCCGTGGTCCTGACTTTCTTCATGAGCCTGAGAGCAGTTGGCCCCAAAATCCTGAGACCTTGGAAAATACTCTGATTGGAGACCCGGAGGTCAAGGCTGTGGTGGTGAATGCGGCTCAGGTTGAGCAGGTCAGTCCAGTGGAGAGGCTCATTGATTACTTTTCCTCCTGGTTCCGTCTTAAAAGGGCTGTTGGTTGGCTTCTCAAGTTTAAGACCTTACTTCTGTCTCTGGTGCGACATCGAAAGCTGCTGAGAGGAACCCTTTCTGAATTGGAACAAAGTGCTGAGCAGGTGGAAAAGGAGCTACAGGTCCAGATGAAAGGTTTTAAGGCTCAAGTGCCAAAGGATTTTCTGTCTATGGAGGATATGGTTGTAGCGGAGTCAAATATTATCTGTTTTTGTCAAAAAACAATGTTTCCGGAGGAACTGGCCAACTTGAAGAAAGGAGTGTGTGTAAGGAGGACGAGCCACCTCTACAAGCTCAACCCGATCCTGGATGGTGATCTCATTAGGGTTGGAGGACGGCTTAGTAGAGCAGCTATGCCAGTTGAAGCAAAACATCCAGTTATACTGGCTAAAGATAAACACATCTCCAATCTTATTCTCTGTCATGTACACAAAGTAACAGGCCATGGTGGACGAAACCACATGCTTTCTCACCTACGTCAGAAATATTGGATTCCTGGTGCTTGCGCCGCCATCAGAAGGGTTTTGGCCAAGTGTGTCATCTGTTGTAGATTGTCCGCTTCACCTGGACATCAGAAAATGGCTGACCTTCCTTACAACAGAATAACTCCTGATGAGCCTCCTTTCAGTCGAGTTGGTTTGGACTGTTTTGGACCATTTGAGGTTAAACGTGGAAGAGCTGTGGTCAAGAGGTATGGGCTAATTTTTACGTGCTTAGCGATGCGAGCCATACATCTTGAAGTTCTGTCTTCTTTGGACACAGACTCCTTCATTAATGGTTTCAGAAGGTTTTTGGCGAGACGTGGTCAAGTTTTGGAAATCCATTCGGATAATGGCACTAACTTTGTGGGCGCTGAGCGTGAATTGAGGAACGCCATTGAGAATCTGAATCAGAACCTCATCAATGACATGCTGTTACAAAAGAATGTGAAATGGGTTTTTAATCCCCCAACAGCATCCCACCATGGAGGTGCTTGGGAAAGGCTAATTCGGTCAGTCCGTAAGGTGCTAAACTCTATTTTGAAGACTCAGACCCTGGATGAAGAAGGCTTGGTGACAGTGTTCTGTGAGGCTGAAGCTATTGTTAATAGCCGCCCTTTAACAAAGGCATCAACAGATCCTCAAGACTTGGAGGCATTGACTCCTAACCATCTTCTTCTGCTTAAGTTGCAACCTTCGTTGCCACCAGGATTGTTCGAGAAGGAGGATGTTTACAGTCGTCGTCGCTGGAAACAAGTGCAGTATATGTCGGATTTGTTCTGGAAGCGCTGGGTGAAGGAATATCTTCCTGGACTTCAGGAGCGCCAGAAGTGGAATACTGCCAAGAGAAACTTTGTCCCAGGAGATCTTGTGGTGCTAGTGGATGAGATGGCACCTCGTAATGCTTGGATTATAGGAAGAATTGTGGATACTGTTCCGGACAAAAATGGACTGGTGCGAAGTGTACGGATTAAAACTAAAACCAGCTATTTGACAAGGCCAATAACCAAAGTCTGCCTTCTGCAGGAAGCAGAGGAGCAGTGAAGATCCTTGGATATAGCAGACTTGAACTTTGGCATTAACAGGACCTTTTAAGGGAATATTTCACTTTGCATTTCTAACTGGTGTTTGTCTCCCACAAGAGGGTTGTAGTGGTGGTCAATTATTACTATAAAATAATTGGGGACCGGAATGTAGGAGCCATACACTGGGTTTGTTTGAGTTTTTATTGGGTTTCCTCTCTTTTCTTTGCACTGTAGTGTACATGCACGCGCATCGTCACGCCATCAGTTACTGTGGGTGTGACCGGGGGCGTGGTGTCTGTATTAATGTGTGTGTGTGTGTTCACCTGTGAGGAAGCTTGGGTTGATCATGGCTGCAGGGTGAGCATGGGGAAGAACTTTCTGTTGACCGTTACCATCGTCGTCAACATCTTACACTGATGTCTCTGAGGTACCTTTTGCACTACTTACAACATGCATCACTCAAAGTAAGTGATTGGTTTTCTATGTATGTGAAATAGCGTAATAAAGAGACTCAATATGTACGATGGTTCAGCGTGACGCGTCTTCAGTGTAAATCCTCATGTTTCAGCCTGCTGTGGCGTTTTAGTTGTTTTGGTGGGTCTGGTCTGTTTGTTTTACTGGTATACGCTGCAATACCATAGACTGTATATAAAAACGCTACACGTTGTTCTGTTGCTGTGTGCGTCGTGTGTCGGCAGAGTCCATTCGTCCACTGCATATGATAACGCGTTACGCAGTTTAGTCAACCAACCAGCATATCTAGAAACGCTACAGACTCCTGTCAGTTTTTGGGCTCATTGCACTTACTATCACTGTCTTCTAAAGACTTATTTGTTTTTATGTAATTGTGCACGGGGTCACGGCATTCTATATAATATAAAATATAAAATCTTGATAATGCACATTTAGATGATTTTTATATGCTTACAAATGGTATTTGCTGTTTTATTTTTTATGCAAACAAAATGGCAATTGTATTTGTAGTTTTCAGTATAAAACTTGCTGAAATGGTTTTGTGTGTGCGTATCAGAACATTTTAATCTTTCGGCACATTTTTACAATACCGTGATAATACTGATAACCGTGATCATTTTGGTCACTAATCGTGATGAAATTTTTATATTGTTTCATCCCTACTTGGAAGTCGGAAATTTCCAAGTTCCCAGTTGCCTGGAATGCAGCATTATTTGCACTCCAAGGATCTTGAGCGATCTCCGAGAAGCTATGAGTGAGGTGACACAAGTGTATCCTTCGCGGAAGTCTTTTACTGACCGACACGTACCTTTATTGGGTAACAGGTTATACCCAATACCAAACAGATAACATTAAACTCAAGTTTATTACTACAAAGTCTATTTTTAATTTGTTTTATGATTCACTGTCTAGTTAAAATCTGGGTTTATTGTAGGTCTGAAATACAAAAGCCCCACACACAACTTTCTTCATTTATTAGAAAGATTTGTCTTTCTTTATGTCTCCCATCAACTTTTATAATGGAGAAAGTCAGAGAGAGTCTGTCAGTAAGGAACACGTTTTACATAATTTATCGTCATTTCTATACAGTCATGTGAAGTTGATCATTCTCACAGTCGAATCTTCGCTACGGCATTATGAAATGAGGATCATACCATTTTGGTGATATGGGGGTACTCAATGTCTGATTTTAAATAGAAGTACCAGTTTTCTCCCAATAAGTCAATATGCTGCCTATTACAATATACACTTCAACATATGCTGTAAATAAAATGTGAAAAGAAAGAACCATTTCATAAATGTTTTTAAAGTGCGTGAATAAATCCAAAATTGTAACCTTAACAATTAAGGAAGGGGGCGTCAGTGCACATGTGTGTGTAGTGGCAGAGGAATTGCTGAAGAGACGGAGCCCCAGCTTTGCTGGTGTTGTGCTGAGTTGTCCACACCTTGTGGGACGTTCGGACCATTTATCACAATTGATGACCCTTACAAAGAGTATTATATCGTTTTTAAACAGTACAGCGGCTTGTGTGTACAGTTAGTTGTCAGGCACGCGCGCACACAAAACTCGGCACAAGACATTTGAATGGCAGGCGAGAGAAAAAGGCTAACAGCAAGCCTCAGTTTAGCTGTAAATGTGCAGTGTAAGTAATGGCAACTAATACAGAAAAACTGCAGCCCCCCCTCCCACCGTCTGTCGACTATGTAAATACTTAGTCGGGGACAGCCCTACCTGAGTAGTGTTAAAGGATATCAGAAGAGGAAATAAACAGAAAGCCTAAAACTGAGCGTCGATTTTGATATGAGTTAGCCTACATCATCTCAATTTCCCATAAACATTTAGCCTAATAAATCCAAAGACACCATAATCATATTCGGGAACGAATTCACAATCTGAATCAATAAATATAAATGCAGATAATCAGCATTGTGCCAGTAGAAATGATCCTGTGAGCAGGACATACAGAAATCTATAATTCATGTGCCCGAGATGTGAACTTAAAGAGTCGAGGAGGAGACTCGAGAAGAGAGGAGTCGAGGAAACAGGCATTTATGACATGAGATGTCCTTTCCTCGGAGCCAACATTTATTTTAAAGCGACGTCAATTAAATATGACCTGTTAGACAACTGCATCATCTGTCCATTGTTTGAGCTGTGATCTCTGTCAGAGGAGCAGACCAGCTTTTGGCACTAAATGCTACAGATCATATCTTCACAATCCAGAAACATGTCTGTCAACATTATAACACGCAGGAACATCTCAAGGTTCCAATAAACATTATAGCATCTGTTGAAAACAGTCACAGATTACAGTAGCCTAATCATTCACTACACAGAAATACAGTAACTGTAAAAAGGAATTCATTTCAGCTCTCAGCTTGATGAGGAGAGTGTTTCATACAGTCCCTTTATGAAATGACACAGTAAAATGTATCTCATGTAGCCCCAATTAAAACTGTCAAACTATTAAAACTGTAATATGACAGTGAATGTGCTTTACAGGCTTAATTAATGTAGCCTAACATTACATGACGGAAACAGACGTTAGTGTCGCTTAAGCTATTGGCAGTGGTAAACCCAATATTTATGCTATATTTTGTGTGTGTGGAAATGCTGATCGTGTGTGTGTACGGGCAGGTGTGTTTGCCCTGTTTTCACCCGTACAGGTTGCCTGTCAGTGTTTGTACGGCTCGGCCAGGTTTCACTGCTCCACACTCAGATTCCGCAGCTGAACTCCAACAGGACATCCGTGGTGCGCTGTGGCCGGCAGAGATATGAGAGGCTGTACCCTGTGATGCTGGTCCGGCCTGATGGATCTACAGTCAACATCAGATACAAAGAGCCCAAACGTATTCTCATGGTTAGTATACTATCTTTACTCTGTGCTCTGTTTCTGTACAGTGCTGGTTCTGTACTGAGCACTTAGGTTCAGTATATGAATGTGTGTGTATTTTGATTACAAGAAAATACCATCATTTTTCAGCAATGCAAAGACCAAAAAGTGGCTGATAATATGTTTACATGTACATAACATGTTTCTACACAGTGAAAGCAGCAACATACCACTAGTCCAAGTGGCATATCACTTAAGGCGCTTTTCGACCAAAAGTACCCGGGACTTTTAAGTCCCCAGATCTCTTTTCAAGGAACTAAAAGGTTCCTTCAGCCCACTGTTGTGTGCATTTCCACCGTGGTCTAAAGACCTGGAAAGATTAGGCAAATTAACCTGCTGACGTAGGCTGTAGGCCTGGCTGTACACAGCGATGCACAGGCATCATTATTTGTAACCACTATCCATGAGCAAAATGTACAAATGAACATCAGATTTGACTGGAATATAATGAAAAGCTATAGGCTTAGCTTGACCATTAAAGCAGCTTTTTTGTGTGGGAGAATAATGAAGAGACAACATATAACAATAACAAAATGGATAAAGCCATAAAGTTTTTTAAATAACTCCAGCACAGAGAAAGCAGCACAAAAATAAGATTGCGACAGTTTGGAAGGTTATTAAAACATTTCCAGCCAACAAGAGCTGCAGATCACCTGCATGTCTGTGTCAGCCTGCGTTGGAGGAACGGGATGTTTAACGAGCTTTGTCCGCTGTAATCAGCTGGTCCGCTTGTTTTGGAGAGGAGGAGACCGACTTCAGCTCCTTGTAGAAACTTCCTGACTGATGAAACTCAAAACAACAACTTCTGACCCAGTATTTAGTGCAACTCCATCAGCTGCTTGCTGTGAATACACTGCTGAACGCTGGCTGCTGTTTCCCAGCTATAAATTTAAGGCTGACCTACAATCTCAGGCGGACATCCGCAAGACGTGTGGATAACAAACTGGATAAAACCATGAAGTTCTTAATACAACTCTAGCACAGATAAAACGCAAAAATAAAATTGCGACAGTTTGGAAGGTTATTAAAACATTTCCAGCGACAAGAGCTGCAGATCAGCTGCAGGACTCATGTCTGTGTTGTCTGAGTGTCGGAGGAACGGGATTTTAACAAGCTTTATTACCTGCTGTAATCAGCTGTTCAGCTGGTTTTGAAGAGGAGACCGACTTCAGCAGGGTGTTTTTAGGGGTAAAATGAAGACCCAGAACTACATTTAGACCCTGGTCCATCTGGTGAGAACACAATGAGTTCCTCCAAAGGTTCCTAGTTCCGGGGTATAGTTCCCTTGGTCGAAACGCAGCTTTAGAATAGGCATATGACAGATACCACCAGTAAATGTAAATGCTCTGTATAGCACCTTTCTAGTCTTTGCAACCACTCAAAGCACTTTTAAACTACATCGAATTCACACACTGCTCAAACTAAAATTAACATTCACACATCGGCGGCAATTCAGGGTTCAGTAGGCCCTGTCTTGCCCAAGGACACTTTGGCATGCAGCTTGGTGAAGCCTGGGATTGAACCGCTGTAGGGCTGAAACGATTTGATTACTAAAAAGCATTGACACGATTGGATCAATGATTTCTTTAATCCATAAAACTATATAGCGCATTGTTTCACACGGACATGTATTACTGTTGCACATCACGCTTATGCTGTGATCAAGTGAACACGACGTGATTATGATACTTCAAAGTATGGGATTATTTCAAACTAAAAGAAAACAACTCTGTAATTTTGCAGTCTGTCCAACGTAAACAATATTTATGTAGTTTACCGCAACAGCACAGTGGCATCTGATCAGCAAGCACCCGGTCTAGCATCAAGTCCACAGAGCGGACCACAGACAAGGTAACAGCAACTTTGACATTTAACTGAAATCCTGATTGATTGTTGAGTTGAAGGCTAGCAAAAGTAAGCCGCAATGCTCTGCTGTAAAAGTATACATGTGGGTTTGTTGTTCTCCGCCTGGTTGGGCCGTGAGTTAACTTACACAGCTAATCCCGGGCCCGGCGCCGCTGCCGCCGCCATGCAAGACTACTTCTTAAACAATGAATCAATGAAATCATCTCTAGAATATTCAATGTTAGCTGCAGCCCTAAACCGCCAATCTTCTGAAAAAGGGCAACCCGCTCTACCTCCTGAACCACAGCCGCCCCAGTGGACCGGGGTCTTCGAGCTGAGACAACTCTGATCACATCATTATGACCTAATCAGGGTTATTTTGTCAGACTTGACACTCCACCAAAGCCACACAGGACATTATATACAGTATCTCACAAAAGTGAGTACACCCCTCACATTTTTGTAAATATTTGATTATCTCTTTTCATGTGACAACAGTGAAGAAATGACACTTGCTACAATGTAAAGTAGTGAGTGTACAGCTTGTATAACAGTGTGAATTTGCTGTCCCCTCATAATAACACATCACACAGCCATTAATGTCTAAACCGCTGGCAACAAAAGTTAGTACACCACTAAGTGAAAATGTCCAAATTGGGCCCAATTAGCCATTTTCCCTCCCCGGTGTCATGTGAGTCGTTACAAACTGTTACAAAGTCTCAGGTGTGATTGGGGAGCAGGTGTGTTAAATTTGGTGTTATCGCTCTCACACTCCCTCATACTGGTCACTGGAAGTTCAACATGGCACTTCATGGCTCCACTCTCTGAGGATCTGAAAAAAAGAATGGTTACTCTACATAAAGATGGCCTTGCCCCTGAAACTGAGCTGCAGCATGGTGGCCAAGACCACACAGCAGTTCAACCGGACAGGTTCCACTCATAACAGGCCTCGCCATGGTCGACCAAAGAAGTTGAGTGCACGAGCTCAGCGTCATATCCAGAAGTTGTCTTTGGGAAATACATGTATGAGTGCTGCCAGCTGCACTGCATTAGATTCTGTAATACTTGAATGATGCACAAGAAAGGCCGCAAACAGTTTGCTGAAGACAAGCAGATTAAGGATATGGATTACTGTAAGCATGGCACAGACTGGGCCGTAGGGCAGTATTCCAAGATGACCACTGCCTCGCTAAAGAAGCTGAGGGTAAAAGTGATGGACTGGCCAAGCATGTCTCCAGACCTAAACCCTAATGAGCATCTGTGGGGCATCCTCAAACGGAAGGTCCACCCACCAGCTTGGTGGTATCGTCATGGAGGAGTGGAAGAGGACTCCAGTGGCAACCTGTGAAGCTCTGGTGAACTCCATACCCAAGAGGGTTAAGGCAGTGCTGGAAAATGGTGGCCACACAAAATATTAACACTTCGTGCCCAATTTAGATATTTTCACTTAGGGGTTTTTGTTGCTAATGATTTAGACATTAATGGCTGTGTGATGTGTTGTTTTGAGGGAACAGCAAATTTACACTGTTACACAAGCTGTACACTCACTACTTTACATTTTAGCAAAGTGTCATTTCTTCAGTGTTGTCAGATGAAAAGAGATAATCAAATATTTACAAAATTGTGAGGGGTGTACTCACTTTTGTGAGATACAATCATAATCTGCTTGCTCAAGATAAATAGATGTACTAGTCCCATGGCATATGAGTCCATGTATTTTAATTCATATTTCTTGTTTTGTATATTTATTGGTGTTTCTTCATGTGTTTTAAAAGATGCCAGTCAATCTGTCCACTTTGTCTGAAGAAGAGCGTCGAGCTCGACAGAAAAAGAGAGAGGTGAAGAAGCCGAAAAAACAGACAGCCCTCTACTATGAAGACGACTTCAAAGCAGACAAATACAGCCACTTCTGGAAGAAAAAATAATGTTTTTTTTTAGGTGAATGTAAAGCATGACTGGGGCAGCATCCCTAAAAATTTGACTCTGACTTCAAGTTGAAATCAGATTGTTTTCATGGTAAGAAAGTAGTTCCTCCAAAAGATCTAATTGTGGGTCACTGAAACCCAGACTAATGCAATTTTCTATAGCAGGATGACTGACGGAAAACCAAGTGTAGCAGGTGCTGAATTATACTATGACTCTGGGGTTACCTTCATTTAAGTATAAATAACCTGTTAAAGCTGGAAACTGTAACAATGTTAAGTTAATAAATTGTTTGAAAGCTTTTTATCTGTGTGGTGAATTTAATAAATTCACACTTGTCAGGCCATGGTTTAACAGGTTTAATTAATTTAGTACCTATTCTCTATACTGTCTTGGAATAAAAAAAAACGGTGTACATACCACTATGATGTTGAAAACGGCAACATCTTTACTAAATACAAGAAGTAGGATGTCATTATCTGTTAGAAGATACAGCACTCAATTACACACTTTATAAAAGCTTAGTATCAGCAGTATGTTCACAAACCATCATTTGTTAAAATGTTCTATTTTGAATGCACATCATAATATCTGGAGGAAAATTATAGTAGTTATAGTAGAAATTGCGGCAGGCAGCAGAACGTTCTCCACGGCGTCTCCAGACTCTGTCACGTCTGTCACATGTGCTCAGTGTGAACCTGCTTTCATCTGTGAAGAGCACAGGGCGCCAGTGGCGAATTTGCCAATCTTGGTGTTCTCTGGCAAATGCCAAACATCCTGCACGGTGTTGGGCTGTAAGGCCCTCATACCACCCTCATGGAGTCTGTTTCTGACCGTTTGAACAGACACATGCACATTTGTGGCCTGCTGGAGGTCATTTTGCAGGGCTCTTGCAGTGCTCCTCCTTGCACAAAGGCGGAGGTAGAGGTCCTGCTGCTGGGTTGTTGCCCTCCCACGGCCTCCTCCACATCTCCTGATGTACTGGCCTGTCTCCTGGTAGCGCCTCCGTGCTCTGGACGCTACACTGACAGACACAGCAAACCTTCTTGCCACAGCTCACATTGATGTGGCATCCTGGATGAGCTGCACTACCTGAGCCACTTGTGTGGGTTGTGGACTCCATCTCATGCAACCACTACCATTCAAAAGTGACCAAAACATCAGCCAGGAAGCCTAGGAACTGAGAAGTGGTCTGTGGTCGCCACCTGCAGAACCACTCCTTTATTGGGGGTGTCTTGCTAATTACCTATAATTTCCACCTGTTGTCTATTCCATTTGCACATGCATGTGGAAGAGTTTAAAGGGGAAAAGAAGGACAGAGTTTTAATAGATTACAAAGTATCTCTTCCACAGTGGTGGAAAAAGACCTTTAACTTAGGTAAATGTTCCAACACCACACTGTAGAGATATTCCATATGTCAAAAGTCCTACATTCAAATTTTGAGATGAAAAGTAAAGCTAATTCTAAATACTTTATATTTTGCTGTGTGGCTTTATCTGTGAAAATACATCATACTCTAGTTTTTCTGATTATGTTTTTAGTTTATAATCTGCAGAGTAACTAGTAACTAAAGCCGTCAAAATAAATGTAGTGGAGTAGTACCTCAAAAGAAGAGTAATTGGGCGCATGTACTTAGATACTTTTCACAACTGATTTCTATTGACATAGAAGGCAATATTTATGCAAAATGTATATGTCTGATAAAATACCTGATTGTTTGGAGGTCATGCAAGGTTGGCTCCCCAGCTTTTTCCCCAGTTCCCCATCTGGCTGAAGTCCTTGAAGATACGTACCTCACACGGTATGGCCTGGAATTGGAGTGAGCGCCACCAAGGTCATCTCACCTGCATCTTCTTTGTCCTTCTGCTTTGCAGACTTTGTGTCCCATGAAGCTGCTTCAATGTTTCCAGGCTTGAATGAACAGTAGGCATCGCACTGGTCTTTCTTTAAGTGAAAGGGAGAATATTTAAGTCACTGAAAATGTTTGAGAAAACTTACATTGACAGAGGCTGTTTGCAAGAGGGCTTATACTCGGTGTACAGGTGACTGATGGACTTGAATACAAGCTCCAGGTACACCTTTCGATGAAGAGGACCTACAGAAGTATGAGTGAACTTTCCAAAGGTCCAGAAGGAAGATCTTATGGAAGGCCTGCGGAAAGCACTGTGGCCTCACAGCAAGAAGGTCTCATTTTTGAACCCGTCATCCCAGGCATTTCTGTGTGAAGAATGCATGTTCTCCCTGTGTCTGTGTGAGTTTCCTCCTTCCTGTGTGGGCGCTCCAGTTTTCCACACCATCAAAAACATCTTAGATTAGGTTCTTGAGGCAATGAGTGTTAAATGCAGAGAATGAATTTCACATGTGTATGTGACAATAAAGTATCTTTTCCTTCCGTTCCTGTCCTCAGTCTTCTCATGACTTTCTCCTCTTCTTCCTGCCCACTTCAATTAGAAGTGCTCAGAGATTTAACATTGATCCAACTAACTGTATATTCTGTGATGAGGACATAGAAACCACAGATCATTTGTTTTTCTTCTGTCCTTACAGTAACACATTTTGGTATGACATGTATTGGCTGGAACCTTATCAGTCTCTCTCCAATTTCACTAGAGATAACATCACATTTAGAATTATAATGAAGGACAAAAACTATGAACTGTTTTTAAAAAATTTTATCCACAAATGTAAATGTTTGAAAAACACAGCCTCTTTTTACTGTCTTCAAGAAAGACTTTGCATTATACAAGTCCCTGTTGTTCATGAAGAAGAAAACACCTAAAAACTTGATTTTATTGATGCCTTAAAATTTTCTGAAGCCCCATAACTGTTTTACTACTGTTTCTCTATCCTGTTGTGGGTTTTTTTGTACTATAATGTACATATTTTCTTCTTTTAATTTGTTTTCTTCTTCCTAAAGCGTTGTGCTCCGTTTCCTGTTAGCACTGATATTTGGTGATCTCTGACTATGCCAGATACTGTTGTAAATTTTCACCTCCAAAAAAAAAATATAAGAGAACAGGTGGCGGGAGAAATGCAAACTGGAAAATTGTGGAAAATAGCAAACAAAAATGGGGAAAAGAGAGTTAGCAAAATGAGAGCTCTTAATCAGAGGAAACTGATAATGAGCAACATGTAACGGTAGGAGACAGAACGGACCCAAACGCAACGCTGAGGGTTAGAAAAAGAGGTTTATTGAGGAAAGAGGGGGACGAGGAGGGACGGGAGGAAAGAGGGCGAGAGGCAGACGAGGACGCGGAGGACCGAGTAGCTGGAGGAGCGGAAGGTGCTTAGGCTGGAGGTTTGAGGGAGGCTAGCAGACGGGAAGGAGAGGACGCGGTGACTGGGGACCAGGCGGGGTGCAAGGGGGGAAGCCGGAGGGCGTCGTGGAGGCGGCGAGAGGAGGAGGCTGGCGAGCAAGCCCGGCTGGCCGAACTGGGAGGCGGAGGTGAGTGAACCTGGCAGGAGGAAACAGACAGACAGGGTTAGTAGGTAACTGGGACGTGAAGCAAAGGGAAATTTCCAAAAAAAAAAGAGCCAGAACGAAGCGGCGACACCAAGTCAGGAGCTGCGACGATCGAGCGAGGATGGAGTGGAAAGCCGGGGTAGAAATACTGGTCGTGATGAGGCTGATGGCGGGCAGGTGCGGCGGCCGGGGATGGAGGTTAACGAGATGCAGGTGTGGGTAGCCAGCCGGGCTCCGGAGCAGAGAGGGAGAGAGCACACAGAGAGAGAGAGAGAGAGAGAGAGAAGGCACAGGAGAAACCAGAATGCGAGGGAAAGGAGAAACAGGACACTCACCAACAGCAGCCGGGCTGTCACCGCGACACAACATCTAGCTTCAACAGAAGGTAGAAACGAAGAGTATAAAGTAATGATTAAAATGATTCAGGAGGGAGCCTCATTTGGCAAATTTGCCATCTAAGGTATATGTAGGTTATATGTGCTATGAGGTCAGACATTATGCCCCCCCCGCCCTGAGGTGCTTTGAGTGTTAAAAATATGGACATGTAGCAGCTGTATTTAAGGCACACAAAGATGCGGTGGTGAACATGAGTACGAGAAATGTGTAAATGGAGCTAAGCTAAAATGCTGTAACTGTGAACGCTGAAGCAACCAAGAGAGTAGGTTGGCAACCAGACAAACCGAACAATAAAGAAGCTAGTGCAGAGAGTAAAAAATCAAGACCATGTGAGGGATGTGACAAAATTAAGGAAGACACTATGATAGTGGGGAAATTTGTTTATGTTTACAGGTGCTGGTCATATAATTAGAATATCATCATCAAAAAGTTGATTTATTTGAGTAATTCCATTCAAAAAGTGAAACTTGGATATTATATTCATTTATTCCACACAGACTGATATATTTCAAATGTTTATTTCATTTAATTGTGATGATTAAAACTGACAACTAATGAAAATCCCAAATTCAGTATCTCCGAAAATTAGAATATTACTGAAGACCAATACAAAAAAGGATTTTTAGAAATGTTGGCCAACTGAAAAGTATGGACATGAAAAGTATGAACATGTACAGCACTCAATACTTAGTTGGGGCTCCTTTTGCCTGAATTACTGCAGCAATGCGTTGTGGCATGGAGTCGATCAGTCTGTGGCACTGATCAGGTGTTATGAGAGCCCAGGTTGCTCTGATAGTGGCCTTCAGCTCTTCTGCATTGTTGGGTCTGGCGTATCGCATCTTCCTCTTCACAATACCCCATAGATTTTCTATAGGGTTAAGGTCAGGCGAGTTTGCTGGCCACTTAAGAACAGGGATACCATGGTCCTTAAACCAGATACTGGTAGCTTTGGCACTGTGTGCAGGTGCCAAGTCCTGCTGGAAAATGAAATCTGCATCTCCATAAAGTTGGTCAGCAGCAGGAAGCATGAAGTGCTCTAAAACTTCCTGGTAGATGGCTGCGTTGACCTTGGACCTCAGAAAACACAGTGACCAACACCAGCAGATGACATGGCACCCCAAACCATCACTGACTAGAAACTTTACACTGGACTTCAAGCAACGTGGATTCTGTGCCTCTCCTCTCTTCTTCCAGACTCTGGGACCTTGATTTCCAAAGGAAATGCATAATTTACTTTCATCAGAGAACATAACTTTGGACCACTCAGCAGCAGTCCAGTCCTTTTTGTCTTTAGCCCAGGCGAGTCTTGTTCAAGAGTGGCTTGACACAAGGAATGCGACAGCTTAAACCCATGTCTTGCATACGTCTGTGCATGGTGGTCCTTGAAGCACTGACTCCAGCTGCAGTCCACTCTTTGTGAATCTCCCCCACATTTCTGAATGG